AAGATTGAAATTAGCTTGAATTTTTCATAACCTCTGAATAGTGGGTAACCCAACGGGTCACGGGTTGTCTAGTATGTTACATGGTTAATAACGGTAAACTTAACAGTCTTGTTGGGCTACCAATGGTTTATATCCGTTTCAGTTTTCAGTTTTATACTTTAAACTTCACTTTAGTATCCTGGAAAAAAAATACAAAGATAATATGATACCATTTTTCATTCTAATTTTCTTTGTTCTTATTGCAATCTGAGTTATGAAAGCAATATAATTTATTTCATTGAGGAAATGTTTAGGACAGAGTTGCGATACAAATGGAATTTACAAAAACTTTCCCCCCAAACATCTATACTCTTATACGTTTTATTGGAATAAAAACAATACGTTAACTGTTATAGGTATATGCTGGTTGGCTTCATTCAAATGTGTTTCTCGTCAATATGTCTTTTTCTTTAAAAACTACACAAATGTAGATTTGTTGAAAGTGAAGATTTTCAAGCCAACATTGCCCTAAAACAAATAGCGTAAATAAGCAAGCGCAACTATAAAACATTCCTTACAAAGGCTTAAGTTTGTTTTTTGGTTGTTGTTGGTTTTTTTTGTATTTTAGAAACAGTGAAGTTATTTATTTTTTCCTTGAATATAAAATATTATTTTATAATGATATAAATATAATAATTTTATCATTAACTCATTTTTTTTATGTTTATTTAGTTTTGTTTTTATGTTTATGTAATTTCCAAATTATGTACTTCTTGTTTATATTTTTACATATCCAGGTACTAACCCAGTTGCTGTTCAGATAACTCTAATCAGTTTAAATGGGCAGTTGAGAAAGCAGCAAGGATTGATAAACCACATCCAGGTTCAGCTGGCAGCGATTCTCGGAGTACACACCACAAGAATTGGCAATGTTAGGCTTCTAGAAGGTGAGTTCATGACCTATGGGTATTTTTACAGAGAAGCTTATGTTTAGCGTAATCACTTGTTATAGTTGGATTCGTTTATTTTGAAATATCTTCTATTCTGGACCTTTAACTATTAATAAAATGTTCGTGTTATTAGCTTTTCAGTTCTATAGTTATATAAGTAAAGAATTAACAGCAAAAAGATGAATTGGTTATTTCGTGTTAAACAGGCATAATTATTAGAATATAGTAACATCTTAGGTATGAAGTTAATCAAATAATTGTGAATCGAGAGTTCATGCATAAATAAAAAAAGCTTTGCCTAACAAGCATTGTATACAATAACTACCTTTACGGTTGGAAATACATAAACATAAGCGATAGATAATCACACATCCAGGTATGTCTGCTATTATCACAATGCTTTCTGTTATTTCAAGTAACGGCTGTATGCGGGAAACGTTTTTTTTATTACGTTAAATAATAGACAGCCTCTCTGAAGTTTCAGTGAAAAAGTTGCCAACCATCTGGACACATAATTTTTCCTAGTCATTGTCTGATTTCACTTGTCGGAATATTAGAGAAATTTGGTTAGGAAAAGGACTGAAGTGATGTTTTAAGAAAGGCTGGGTAGAACTATTTTGTCTACTTAGTTGAATTCCATCGCGAGCTGTTGAAGATATTCTACTCAACCAGAGAGGGAACATTCGGTATATAAAAAAAAAAAACTCGGAAAGTTTTTGGTATCTGATTCTCATATATTTTCTTAAGTACAACAATGGTTGTTCAGGTACTCGGTAAGGTATTGAATCGTGAAAAGATATTGAAATGGAATCTTCTGGAACTGCTATAGTCATGATCACAAGAATGTGCCACAATAACGATCAAACTTCATCATAATTAGAGAGACACATATAAATTGGCCCATGTCTTAGAGGAAATTACTACAGTTAAAAATAAAGTATTTCTACTTTTTAAAAAACCGTTTACAATTTACCAGAAAAACCTTAAGGCTACAAACTTGAGTACATGCTTTAGTTTCTTTTAATAATAATTAATATTGACGCTTTTAAATTTACTACCGACAGAAAGATTCAATATTTATTTCATCACGCGTTTCCTGCTCTAACTGCACTACATACGCTTCAGAGATTAAAATATCAATTCAGTATCAAACATTATGTCATGATCAAATTTCCACCTTCTAAAATAGGTATACAAGTATGATATGTATACCAGACTATAAAATATTTTTTTAAATATTAGGAATTCATTCACTTATTGTTACTTTCATTAACAATGTTGATTATACTAGTTAGTAGATCAAATATCATTAGTTTTTATTTTTATTAAATGCCTATAATTATAATACTTTTACTATACTTATAATTTTTCCTTTTTTAACTTAGAACATGTATTTATAATTAACCTAAATTTCCTAAGCTGGTCGAACCTAATATGATGATATTGGGACTACAGCCGAACATATCGTTAATAGCCAGGCTATCCGAATGATGAAACAATGCATTCTAATTCTTATAAGTAGAAACGTAAGAAAATTATATTTATTTATCTATACTGGTGGTCAGATTGAATTTTAGTTTAGCTCTATATACATAGCTTTCTCTAATCTGAATATATTATTATTTCATATTAAACATAAATCAGATTCAGTGTGCTGTCTATTACAATATGTTTATATATCCACCAACAGAAATCACAATATATATATATATATATATATTTGTAGATCCAATGCAAATTCAATTTACTATCCTTCCTGCCTCCGGTTCCTCAAACTTGGAAACTTCAGCAGTCGAAGCTCTACGAACGCTGTCTAAGAGAGTTAACGCTGAGACGCTAAACCTAACAGATATTGCAGGTTACACACTACTGGCTTTGCCCCACAGCCTTGTTTTATTAGAACCTGATGATGAATATTTCAATAAAGGTAATTTAGCAAGACATATTTAAATAAAATTTGTTGTCCTTTGGTCTAGGTTTTTATCATTTACTTGGTTATGTATATATATATCTTAAACACTTAGTGAGTAAATAGGTTTTCCCATTTATTTTATTGTAAACTTTACATGTGGTAATTGAGTCTTACCTTTTGTTATGATAATGTAATTGAAACTGAAAGGAAAGGTGGATACATATTGTTTTTAGTGTAAGATGTACCTAGATTTTCTCTTTGTTATGCCGGATTAGTTTCTGATAAAAAATTCCCTCAAGAAGAAATAGTTTATAAATGAAAGCCATCCATTTTACGGAAAACATCTCAAAACTAATTTAATTTTAGTTCACAAATAATACAAATAAGACCAAAGAAATCAAAACAATTATTTATTTTCCAGTATGAAACTAATAATGTACATATCTCTTACTGAGAGTTTTTATTAAACAAACGTTACTTCAAGATATTAAAACAAATGATCATTTTTCAATAGTATGACACATTTAAAAGACTTTTGTAAATTATCAAGTTAACAATTATCTGTTTTAGGCACTGAATCTGCAGCAGAAAGCACGACTTCTTTTGGAAAGTTCAAAACGCTTATTGCGTTGCTTTGTGGATTGATTGGAGTCGTATTGGTGCTAACTGGGCTGATTATTTTAAAGAAAAGATGCAGAAAGTCAGCATCAGTAAGGTAACAAACAATGTTTACCTCTCATAGTGTAGAATATGTGGTCCTTTTGTAGAGCTATGCATGTATCTTTCTAAATTAGGGAAATGTTCAAAGCATGAAGGTATCCTTTCAAATTAGGAAGGGTTCATTGCTTTAATTTCTGTTCCTCTGAACAAACAAATATCTTGTGTAGCCTTTCAACAAACACAGTCCTCTGAACATGAGCACACAAAAAAGGGAGATCCATCTACTGCCAATTTGTTCAAGCACTTAGGAAATTACTTTGTCTGGTAGTTACATTTGTATAGAAATCGTTAGCAATCACAATCAAAATGATATAACAATTTTTAAGGCAAATGTTTTAACATTCTGGTTTGGAACAACAAATTAGATTCTTAATACAATATAGTTTACATGTTGTTAAACACAAAAGTGAACACTAATTCGAAACTATTCACATAAATCTTTAAAAACTAGGACAGTGCTGGATGTTTACAAATAGTTTTCATGAAGAAATATTTGATTAATTGTTTATAAATAAATACTTCGCCAGACTTTAAATAGCAATATTTTTAGGTCTAAAATATATTTTGTTTATTGTTGAAATGTTCTACAATTAAAAAATTCTAATTACGTTATAATAAAGTTTAAAAATTCCTCTTATATAGTGCTGAAGAAGTACAAGATTTTCATAAACATAATATAATATCTGTTTAGACAGACTCCTCACCCTTTCCTAAATAATACGTAGTGTGAGATAAAAACATAGTGGGATGATTAGTCATAAGTAGTTTTTTTTTTTAATTAACTATATCTTTAGACATAGTTTTATTCTGTTATTTTATTATTCAATAAATATATTGCCTGCTTTATATTAATAATATAATATGTCGTACTAAACTTATTTTCTGGAACCATTTATCATCATAACTCTTTCTTTATTGAACAGTGTTGCTCCCGCTACCTTTCCGTCATCAGTTAATGAGGGTAAGATTTTATCTCTATTAAGAGTACATTAAGTGATCATTATTGTCATGTATTTAGCATTTTCAGTTATTCTAAATACATAAAGTGATGCATTATGTTTATCATAATTAACTATTCTGTGCGAATTAAGGGACGCTTATCTATATATATATACATAAATAGCCTAAACAGATTTTTAATCACTCTTGTTGATTTGAACAATTTTTGTGCGACCTTGGCGCTACTGGCGACAGGGCTAGCAACTATATATCTGTGCATTGTTTCACGAAAACTTTTTAAGATCTTTTCTTAAGTTCTTTCATAAGTTATTACTTAAGATGAGACTTGAGAATTTCGTAAGATATTTTCTAGCTTGTTTCACAGAGCTATCTCAGGAATGCCTTGGCGAACTATCCTAAGTATACAATATATTTGGAATATATCGATGCTTTAAATGAAATAGAATGGTCATTTATGTTCCACAGAATTTGTACAATACGTCCTAATGTTGTATTAACACGTTCATTATTTTATGTCTTAAATTTAACGTATCCTTATTTTGGTTTATATTAACAATAATGTTTTTGTTAATTACGAAAAATCAATAATCCAAAACACTGTAATACATACCATACTTTTTCAAAGCGCGACATTTATTAATCGTGTGTACCACTGGCCACTTTTTCTTTCTTTTTTCATACAAAAATGTTTTTATTAACATTAATTTTAATATATCGGTCCAGTTTATGGTAAAGTAAAAACAATTATTATTTGAAGTTTTGAGAAACATATAAAAAAGAACTTATGAAGGTTCTTAAGATATGAAGCCTTTTGTGAAATGAAACACTTAGGAAAAACATATTACCTTGTCATCAAGTTCGATGTAAAAATCGGTTGGGGGTTGAGAGAAATGAGAAAGTGGCCTTAGGAATCAAATGAATAAAACCCTATAACCCAAGCGCTTTCGAAAAGTGGACCTTTCTTCTTCAGGGGCAATTAAGAAATTACAGTAAATAGTGGCTAAAAAAATATTTTAAGAGCTGCCACCTTTCTAAGTTCAGCCGATTTGAAATCTACAAGAACCCCTATGATTATGAGATGTTTTAATCCAATGTAAGAAAAACAGGTGTGTTTATCGTGGTTTGTAGAAAGATATATAACAAACAAGGCGATCAACGAGGAAAAGTAGATACTGGGAAATGTGAGAGCAGACGAAAAGAGAGAGAAGCGAAGGAAAATATGCTGCTAGTAAGAACCAAAACTAGTTCTAAACCTATTTTTGTTATGCGTTATGGATCTAGTGATATACAGAAAAATGTTATGTTTAAATTTGGTATAGGTCAGTTCCTGATAGAAATAAGTAAAAGCTTAAAAGTCGAGGAGAAAGTCGACCCGTAGTAAAGTGGGTCAGTCTACAATAAAGTGGTGTCCTAAGACAATCTAGAACATCCCTAACTTATTGCTAGTATTTCTTAATATGTCTTCGTAAAACTGGCTGTTGAATTTTGGTGATATTTCGACTATTCAACCATGAAATACCTTCATCGATAGCGGGAATAGGATAAAGCGTTTTTCCGAGGATAAATCACAATATGGCGATTTTTGTTAAATGACAGTTTGTTTGTTTGAATTTCACGCAAAACTACACAAGGGCTATCTGCTCTAGCCGTCCATAATTTAGCAGTGTAATACTAGAGGGAAGGCAGTTAGTCATCACCACCCACCGCCAACTCTTGGGCTACTCTTTTACCAACAAATAGTGGAATTGACTGTCACTTTATAACGTTCCAACGGCTGAAAAGGCGAGCATGTTTGGTGGGACGGGGATTTGAACCCGCAGATTGCGATTCGAGCTCCCTAGCTACCTGGCCATGCCGAGCCGTTAAATGACAGCGAACCGTAGAACACAGCAATTTGAAGAAAGGACCTTTCAGTGTTCTCTATGAAAACAGATAAACTTGCCTAGTATAGCGTTTATGTTAGCAATGGTCTCCGAAATCACATTCTATGATAACACTAACATCTGGAAAGTGAATGCCTTCGGCGTAAAGCAGAATTACGATAAATACGCATCTTAGTACCAAAAACAAAATTAAGCAACCATAACTCAAATAAATGAATTTTTTCAAACAAAAGATTTTCAAAAATCTGAAATCACACCAAATCCTTTTGACCACATAACTGTCAAGTTTCTCGAATCAGCTGCAGTGAACTTTGTGCCCTTGAGCTAATTAAAAAATTGTATGGAAATTTCACGTCCACGTATAGAGGACAATCTACGGTTTTCGAAGATGTGTAACATAAGATTGATGTTTTCATCGTTCACAAACATTTATTAAAACTGATATTGCGGCGCCTGACAACAGTGTGTAATTATAGCCATCATAGACCAACTATGACCAAAGATGAAGGAAGTGATTTTTAGACAAATAATCATTATCGTGTAAAGTAATATAACTAAAGCTTAGATCCACTATTACGGAACCACGAGCTTACATAGAAAGATGTTTCGACATTATCACATGGCATTTTCTGAAGAGGCATACAAAAAGTATTTCAGTTATACGTTTGGTTTGCACAAATGCAAACCAGTTAATAAGTTCTGGTGATGGAAGAAAAACCTCTTTTACCTAGATTTCTTACTAGCAAGAGTTTCTAAAATATTATTAACACACACCTGTTATTACAAATTAATGTAGGACTAAAAGAAAATGAAGAAAATTACCTGCAGTCAAAATGGTGATTCTTTACATTCCTATAACTTTCTTTTAGATAAATAGGTAATTTTTTATTTCTACGTAACACTGATGGCTACACGTGCTCTTTGGGATGTAGTTTCAAGGTTGATGGCTACTTAAGCTTCTAAAGGCAACCTTTTTTTATATCACATTTCTCAATATATTTTACTTTTCATAACCAATGGTAACTATATATATTATTCAATTATTTGAAACTAGTAATACTGAATATTTTAGAAATATTAAAAATTATTTAGTTATTATGCACAAAAAGTAGATATGAAAAACACAAAAAAGAACTGTCACTGATTGTGTCTTTTCCAGAAAAAAAGTATTAGAATTCGTGTTGAATACCCTACACATTCCCCTAGAATTGCTGTGATATTCATTTAGTATGCTGTGATGTTGAAGTCACCTATAATTGCTGTGATGTTCATTTAGTGTGCTGTGATGTTGAAGTCACCAATTATTCTCAGAAGATCAATGATTTGTTTCGTCGAACACTTCTTTAGTTGTATGACATTCAACTAAGACTATTCACCTTCCGTGAACCTCAATGATTTATTTTAACTAAAATTTCTGTGATGCTTACCTCATGTTCTGTAATGTTGAAGACTACTCATTGTTCTTCCCAAAGATTTATTGACTTGTTTCTTTAGTTGTGTCTACAACATTAACCTTGAGCTCTAAACCTCTATAGTTGAACTACGGATTTTCACAGAATATTAACAAATTATTCTTACCGAAACTGTTGTGATTTTAACTAATGTATTCTGATCGTTAAGACTGCCTTTAATTAGCCTGAGATAAATTATTGTTAATTTAACTGTTGTGATTTTGATCGTATATTTGCTGTGATAAGAGTGATTTACTGCATTGTTTTTGAAGGCTTTTGTTTTAACCCATCGTTTAATTAATAATAGCTCATTTTACATCACAGTTTATAAATTTTCCAGGCTTATCCTTTATATTTTTTATATCCTGAAATAGCTAATTTGCTTAATATATAAGCTGCATGCACTTACAAGAAATTGTGTTTACGCAAATAACAATAAATAGAATATTATAAACAGCCAAAAATAGTATAAAGGTTATTTGAAATACTTCAAGATTCCAGGTAGTTAAATCAATATTACTTGTCAGGTTTAATTTTTCTAACTCTAGTTTTCTTTATTGTCCAGAACATCTCTTATATTTTAAATTAATCTGAAATAGTTTAATTTGTAGCTTAATAATACAATAAATTTTTTCGGAATGAAGTGTTATCATGAGTCTATTTCATAGAGCAATTTGAGTGTAATTACATTTTACTCAGGTTTTAAATAAACGTAATTGAAATCTTTAAGGAGTTGTTCATTTTATTATAATGTTCGGTGTTAGTAACAACTTGGAAAAACCAATGTTTATAATATCTTTGCTCATTATTACATTTTAAGATGTTTGAAGTATTGACATCTTCTTATAGTTAATTTGACTGAAGTTGTGTGGGAAGTACGTAGAAGTAGGAACTGCTACTGCTCTTCAAACTACCATATCTTTAAGATTATGTTACTGAACATAAAAATAATGTTACCAACTAAAACTAAGTCAAAATATCCTGCAATAATAACTTTTATTTAAATCATATCAGCATGCAATAATAATGTTGATGTAAACTTTAACAAGCTGCAATAATAACACTTACTTAAGCCGTAACAGCATAACGTTACCATTCATTAAAGCGTTAGAACACTCCAAGGTTACTAAGAGTAAAGGCAGAATATAAAAAATACTGTGTTCTGAGACTTACGTCTGCCCATTTCAATCGGAAAAATAACTTTAATGGATGAGATTAATGTGAAGTGCCAAGACCTGAACTATAATTATCACAACTGAGTCTAAGTTAATTTTACTAATGTTATATTTGTGAAGTATAGAATTGTTAAACTGTTGAAAGAAGAAAAGTTTTATATTAGTCGAAGACAGCTATAAAACTGATATAGACCAAAATAGAAGAGAAAATTCCAATATCATGTAAACGTTTATTTTAAAAGTATGCAATGGCTCAAAATAGAGCTTTATCAATGATTTCAAGTGATGACTGTGTTTTCTGCGATTTTTGATAATCCATATAAATAAACGTCAATATGTGTGTGTTTACCTGTGTATCTGTTCCTTATATATTTCCACATTTCTTGATCAATCAGCACTAAACTTGACTCAGTGATACATGATGACACGAGGAAGGTCACGAGGGGGGGTTGGACCCCCATCTAATACAGAATATGCTGTTACTTATATATATATTGTTGTTGTTTTGTTTTTCCCGAAGGGTTAAAACTGGCTCTCAGCCCATCTCAGTTCTCTAGTATTCAGAAATAATCTAATATCACCGCACAGTGAATCATCCTCAGACATTTCTACGTCTTACTTACAATTAACATTGAGTAAATTATTAAAAACATTGCCAACATAGTTAAGTACAGCATAATAATACTATAAAGTAGCAGTGGTTATTTTTTCTTAAAATTCCTTACAACCATCACCATTTTTTTCAATAGTTTCAATTTAGTTTCGTGGTTTTTCAGCAAGTCCAAAGTGCTGGAATAACTTATAAATTAACCTCCTCGTGTTCTTCAGCAGATTCGAGGTGTTCTTTAAGCTTCTCCCCAGCAAAATTCTGGAAAATATTCTGGATAATTTTATAAAGAATGTTCCCCCTCCTAAAAAAAAAGATTCAAGGGAAAGATATCTAGGGAGAGGAAAAGTACTGGTGGATGATATGAAATATAGGGGATAGTGTGATGAAATTAGGAGAAGAGTGAAGGATAGAGGGTTTGAGGAGAAGATTCAATAAGCCAAGTCAATACTAACTCATGAAAAATAAATAAAATAAAAAGTGACGAATAAAATGAATATATATGTAAAAACAACAACATTCGATCAAATTTATTTAGTAACAAAGTTAATAAATAAACTAGCATTTATCATTCAGATGGCTACTTTAAAAGCATTTTGTAAGTATCTGCGTAAAAATGTCATTTATTGATATAATTATAATGATATGCAATGAAGTAATCTCAGTTTTCCTGATTTTCTTCAGAGTAGTTTGTAGAAATCGCAAAACAGGAGGATGCATCAGATACTATATTATAGAGAAGTGTCTGACCATCAGATACTATATTACAGAGCAGTGTCTGAATTTTCTTTGCCTGTGATTGAGTATTTACCAAGAAAAGGGAAGAGACTGAATCTAAAATGTAAACAATCACAAACTTTATTTACAAGGTAAACATTTGATCAAGTGTTTAGGTTCACCAAACAGAGAAAGAGAGGGTTTGATTAACTTCAATTCATAGCATTGTTCATGCTACAAGATCTCCTCAAATAGGAAACACAAGCGATGATCTTAGTAGCTCATGCAATCCAATGAATAAACAAGACAAGAGAACTTAGTAGTTATTATTGACCGATGAGGATAAACTCTGAAACACAATGAAAACTTTATTTAGATATTTAACAGTTAAGTTGGTAGAAAATGCATAATATCCCCACGTATCACAGCAATACATTTTCTACACTTGATAATAATTGCAGTTAAGCCTACTAATCAATTCTGGCTAACAATGTTCTTATTGTTATGCTAACAAAACTAAATTAGTATTGTGTTAAAGTCAAAAATAAAAAACTATGTTTGGTGCTCCAAATATACAATAGCACAATGTGCCCGATAAAAATTAGGCCAGTTTTATTGATGTATGCTAAAGTGTCGTTACATAAAATAATTTAGAGTAATTATAATAGTTGGCTTACTTGTTCTTAACAACTTCAAAGCAGTGTCAACTTTTTATATTTATGAAACTATAATTTCATTTTATCTTTATAGTGGTTTTTACCAATGATATCATAATTTCGATCATATAACTTTTAAAAGGATTATTATACTGTTAACTCTTTAGGCTAATATCAAAATTATATTCTTTCAGACTTAGTGCAATAATATATAATTAAATATTTAAGCTTATGATAACACATTAGAAAGTTGAACCCTATACTAAGTTACAAAATCATGATTAGAGTAATGTTATTTTAACAGATTTGTATTAAAATTGTAAATATGTATGTCTTTTGTAAAGTTTTAAGTTTAAACTTTTATCTTAAAGTTAACGTTTTAATCTGGTCAGCGTAGTACAATGGTAGTGTCTCATGGTTTGGATTGAAAGGTCCAAGATTCGAGTCACGACATGCCTCTGAATTTATTCTGCATTTTCGTTTGTGGAGGCATTATAATAGTAAAAGCACTGACTGTAAGTGTTGTTAACTGGTTGCTCTTCTCTAATAAACATTTCCAGACACGGAATGGATATGCCTAAACTTAGGAGACTCTGAAATGGACGTTTGGACCATGGGTGGCGTAAGGCACCATTCAGATTGGCTTTAACACTTAGCTTAAATGCAGACACTAATAATAACATACTTTGAACCTTTTAATCCTACAATAAAATTATAACTTTAATGTATTATGTTTGTATCAACAAACATATATCAATGACTATATGAGTCTATAACTAAGTTTAGTAATAATATTTACTCTATCGATCAGGTGGAAGTACGACCATTTAATACGAAAACTAAGTTAATCCCTTCTACCAGTTAGTACAATCAAATGCTTAATAATAAGGAATACCTAACCATTGATTAAAATAAGTAATCGAATAAAAATAACATGTCAAAAGTATAAAGGATTTAATTACTCTAATAATTAACCAAGATATTAGGCGATTTTAATGCTACCTATGATGGACCACTATAGAAGTTCTATGACTCCAGTAAAAGAAAATGACAACGACTTTCACCTACAAAAAGTAAGGTAATTTTTGATATCAATATTTCAGCATACCTCTTCATAAGGAGTAAATTTGAAACGTCTTGTACTATGACATGTCACGTGTAACTTTGGAATCAAAGTTAAATTGTATGCAGATTATGCAGTCATGGCTGTAATGCTGCATATTGTGCAAGAATGTTGACAGTCAATGTACCCTAGTGGTGTGTCAGATTATAGCTCGAGGTTACAGCTTCTCCTAAGTTTTAAAATAATGACCAATCATGTAGGTAGTACTAGTTGCTCATGGTAAATACGATGTTTCCAGTTAGGCAAGAAACGTTAGATTTAAACATTCATATTATCATAGAGTAAACAATGTTGTTCCTGACTTAGAGTGAATTGGGTTACGGAATTACATTTCGAGGGAATAGCGAACCAGTCTCATTATTTCACGAACCCAGTGTACGACGACCATCCAGAGTCTACAAATCAACTACACACACTGTGTTTTGTCTTGTTAATAAATATTGTTTTATTTTTCTGCCACACATTGTATCCAGTCTGTCTATCTTTTTGCTTAAGTTCAGTCATTTTAATTAAATTTAATATTACTTCATAATATATCTTGCTGATCCAACTGTTATAAAGTGAACCTACCTTATACTCTTTGATAAAATAAGTTTAATCTGAAAATACCACAAACTGTCATATACATTTAATAAATCAACACACATATTTCTCAGACAGCATTTCAATGTACAAACAGTAGGGACATTTTAAAACTAAGTATGAAATATATGTAGATGGACAGAACAGTTGATATCCCCATAGAATGCTCTTTAGCAGGAACAGCCTCTATATATGACACATTGTTCAATTAGAGGACGATAAAGTCCATATAATATCCTAGCTGAATGATCCAGTTCAATTAGAGGACGATAAAGTACATATAATATCCTAGCTGAATGATCTAGTTCAATTAGAGGACGATAAAGTACATATAATATCCTAGTTGAATGATCTAGTTCAATTAGAGGACGATAAAATACATATAATATATTAGCTGAGTGATCCAGTTCAATTAGAGGACGATAAAGTACATATAATATCCTAGCTGAATGATCTAGTTCAATTAGAGGACGATAAAATACATATAATATCCTAGCTGAATGATCTAGTTCAATTAGAGTACGATAAAGTACATATAATATATTAGCTGAATGATCCAGTTCAATTAGTAACTAGAGGAGTTTAGTAGCTTCCTTGAACGACTTTTTATATTAAGACTAAAAACGCTATGTTTAGAGAAATTTTGGAAACTGTTATACATATATATATACTAACGAAGAGAGTAGAAAACAT